CTAGGACTTTGACTGTTTAAACCTCTAGAAATAAATACCCAAACTTCAGCCTTAGCAGGGAGAACACCTTTCAGGATGTCTTTTTGAAAGTAGCATCTGTGCACTAAGCATTATATAAATGGGACAGCTGATCTCCAAAAACTAGGGGAGAAAGGTTACTAAGATTCCTTGGCATCATTGTTACAGGTAAATGCTGAAGGATTTCATTCTTTCAGATATTCACTGAGCACTTACTATGTACTAGGGACTGTGCTAGATGTGGGGAATTCCTTGGTGAATAAAATAAATGCCCTGCCATCAAGGTTTTATCACAACAATAGCAACAACGAACTACATAACATTTGTTCAGTGTTTCTTATATTCCATTGTGGTCACTAACTGAATTAACACATTTAGTGGGGGAGCTACATAATAAACAAAAAAGTAAATACATAATATGATAATAATCAATCTTATAAAAAAGCATATTTGAGAAATTAATTACAACCTGAAGATGTTCTTGTCTCTATCTCCAGAATGAAACTACATTAACGGGCATCTCAGCAGGCTGAATATAATCACAAGGGTCCTTATAAGAGAGAAAGAACAAGGTCAAAGTGAAAGAAAAAGAAGATGTAAGGACAGAAGCACAGACGAGAGAAAATGCTACCCTGCTGGCTTTGGAGATGGAAGAAGGGGCCAGGAGCAAGGAAATACCATGAACCTTCAGGGGCTGGTGAAGGCAAGGAAAGTAATTATACCACAGAGAAGGAATGCAGTTCACTAACGCCTTGATTTTAGACTGGTAAAGCTGATTTTGGATTTTTGATCTTCAGAAGTGAGATGTTATATTTGTTTTATCTTAAACCAGTAAATTTATGCTAATTGGTTCCAACAGCTTTAGGAAACTCATACAGGATATATGTAGCAAGGTTACAGAATGGCAAATTATGGGGGGGTGCTTAAGAATTTTTTATTTGCTTATTTTCATTTTGAGAAGGAAAGAGAGAGAGAGGGGGGGAGAGAGAGAGAGAGAGAGAGAGAGAGAGAGAGAGAGAGAGACCTGTATTCCTTGTGGTGAAATCGGAGACTGACTTGCATGTGGGTGCCAGAGACCCAACTACTTGAGACATCACCTGAAGCCTTCCCTGATGTGCATTGGTAGGAAAGTAGAACAAGGCACTCTGATATGGGATTGGGGTTTCCCAAGCTGCTGTGGCAAACATCGACCACAGGGGTGGTCTCCTTGAGGAGGTGATCTTTAAAGAGAAAAGTGAGCAATGTGAACCATCAGCTTGGCTGTGGGGAGGGAGAAGCATTCTACCAGAGGGAGCAGCAAGGTAAATTCTCTAAGAAGGGACTAGAAGTGTGTCTGAGAACTACTAAGAAAGCTCTTGTTTATGTGCAAGGGAGAACATATTAGGTGACCTTGCAGAGGTAGTCAGGGATCAGATTATGTATGGTTCTGTAGATTTGATAAGAATTTTGACTGTATTCAAAGAGTGTTGGGAAGTTATTGGGTTTCTTTTTGAAGGAGTAATGCAACTACTAGGTGGAAAAGAGACCCTAGGTTGGAGGTACCAGTACACAGGAACTGGAAAGCAAAGGGATTTCCATTTTCTAGTGGACAAGTGCAGAGGCATGGGCTGGGATGAGGGCAGGCCTAAGGAGCATGCTCTGTAGAATGCTTACACAGGTTTTGCCAGTGGATTGCCAATGAAGCATGAGACAAAGTAGACAACATGATAGCAAGGGCTTTGATGATGCTATTTGCTCATTTTGTCACATTCTGGGAGGAGTAGCATTGTGAAAGAAAATCATGTGTTTGGTTTCAGGTGTGTTTCAATACTTACTGCACAGTCAGGAGGACATTTCAGGTAGGCAGTTGTGTATGAGGACAACTCATAAGAGATGGAGAGGGGAACACAATCCTTATTACTTCCATCCTCAAGACGATTCAAGGCCCAGGTTTTTGACTGCTTGGCCTGACTGCGGCTTGAAAAATGGCAAGTTGCTGCTCTGTAAAGGTCTTAAGAAGTAGCCATTGCCTTAGCCTATTTGCTCTGGCTTTCAGTAAGCCTTTAAAATGCCAGCGAGCTCTAATTGTGTTGACTGCCCAACAGCTGTGAATACAAGATGCTGACTCCAGAACTGCAACTCATTCTGCCAAGGGCACCATCCTTCTCCTACTGATGACTGCTGAGCGTGGCCACCTGAAGCCTTCATGGGGTTCAGCAGCAGCTGCGCATGCCCTCCAAGAAACAGCTCTCTGCGATCGATCGGATCAAATCAGAGCACTTCTTTGCTTCCCCTCGAAGCTTGAGTATTTGTTTTTTGAGCATTAAACAATAAGACTCCCAGGTTAACTGGCACGCAGGTGCTATGTGTCTGAAAGGGATTTGGCTAGGCTTGCAAACAGTCTGAGCCAGGCAAGTGTAGGAGCCTGACTCGGTGCTGTCATCAGAGGTGAGAACAGAGTAACTGGCTGCCCACCTGACGGAACTGCTATGGTGTCAGCACACTGAAACCAGGGTCAAAACTCTCAGCATTTCATTTTCTCTTTAACTCCCCCACTCTTCACTTTTTCTCAATGTAATTTTCTTTTTTTTCATTTTCAATTATCTTTATATTATACAGAAGATCAATTCAGTATATATTAAGGAGAGATTTCATCAGTTTGCACCCACACAAAAACACAAAGTGTAAAAATACTGTTTCAGTACTAGTTATAGCATTACTTCAATGGGACAACACACTAAGGACAGATCCCACATGAGAAGTAAGTACACAGTGACTCCTGTTGTAGACTTAACAATTTGACACTCTTGTTTATGGCGTCAGTAATCTCCCTAGGCTCTAGTCATGAGTTTCCAAGGCTATGGAAGCCTTTTGAGTTTGCCGACTTCGATCATATTCTGACAGGGTCATAGTCAAAGTGGAAGTTCTCTCCTCCCTTCAGAGAAAGGTACCTCCTTCTTTGATGGCCCTGTTCTTTCCACTGAGATCTCACTCGCAGAGATCTTCCATTTAGGTCTTCTTCTTTTTTTTTCCCCAGGGTATCTTGGCTTTCCATGCCTAAAATACTCTCATGGGCTCTTCTGCCATATCCGCATGCCTTAAGGGCTGATTCTGAGGCCAGAGTGCTATTTAGGACATCTGCCATTCTATGAGTCTACTGTGTATCCCGCTTCCCATGATGGATCGTTCTCTCCCTTTTTGATTCTATCAGCTAGTATTAGAAGACACTAGACTTGTTTGTGTGATCCCTTTGACTCTTAGACCTATCAGTGTGATCAATTGTGAACTGAAATTGATCACTTGGACTAGTGAGACAGATAAAGGGTTGATAACCAGAATCTACAAAGAAATCAAGAAACTCCACAACATCAAAACAAACAACCCACTTAAGAGATGGGCCAAGGACCTCAATAGACATTTTTCAAAAGAGGAAATCCAAATGGCCAACAGACACATAAAAAAATGTTCAAGATCACTAGCAATCAGGGAAATGCAAATCAAAACCACAATGAGGTTTCACCTCACCCCGGTGAGAATGGCTCACATGCAGAAATCTACCAACAACAGATGCTGGCGAGGATGTGGGGAAAAAGGGACACTAACCCACTGTTGGTGGGAATGCAAACTGGTTAAGCCACTATGGAAGTCAGTCTGGAGATTGCTCAGAAACCTGAATATAACCCCACCATTCAACCCAGCCATCCCACTCCTTGGAATTTACCTAAAGGAAATGAAATTGGCAAACAAAAAAGCTGTCTGCACCTTAATGCTTACTGCAGCTCATTTCACAATAGCTAAGACCTGGAACCAACCCAAATGCCCATCAACAGTAGACTGGATAAAGAAATTATGGGACATGTACTCTATAGAGTACTATACAGCAGTCAAAAACAATGAAATCCGGTCATTTGTAACAAGATGGAGGAATCTGGAACACATCATTCTGAGTGAAATAAGCCAGTCCCAAAGGGACAAATATAATATGTTCTCCCTGATCGGCGACAACTAACTGAGCAGCAAAAGGGAAACCTTATGAAGTGAAATGGACACTCTGAGAAACAGTGACTTGATCAGCTCTTGTCCTGACGGTTGATGTACAATGTAATACTTTATCCATTTCAGTATTTTCTCTTTGTTTTGTTCTGGTACTATTGGTTGAACTCTGTAATTGACACACAGTTATTCTCAGGTGTTTAAATTTTAACTGAAAATTGATCCCTGTTAAATATAAGAGTGGGAATAAGAGAGGGAGGAGATGTACAATTTGGGACATGCTCAAGCTGACTTGCCCCAAATGGTGGAGTTAGAATCATGCCAGGGGATCCCAATACAATCCCATCAAAGTGGCATGTACCAATGCCATCTCACTAGTCCAAGTGATCAATTTCAGTTCACAATTGATCACACTGATAGGTCTAAGAGTCAAAGGGATCACTCAATGTAATTTTCATCACCTGATAAAAAGCCTTCTTCTTTGCCTTCCACTCTGCTCTTCTTCCCAAACCCTCACACTCTCCCTGTGTCCCTTCACAAGATGTCAGCTCCCTGTATGATTACCCTGCTTGGAGCCCCTGTCTCCAGATTTTCCCTTTTCCAAATTAGCAAACAGTTAAATCAAGAGACCGTGAAGGTGAAGGCCCCAGGGTTCTGTTTCTGCAGGTAATGCTGCTTTGCCACAGTAGCCAGAGGAGAACAAGACCTTGGAGGGCCAGCTCTGGAAAAGTAAGGTCCCACATACTCAGAGGCACTCTGCTTTAATACTGAGCTTGTCACTTGTGAAGGTGTGCAAACAGAACCTTCTGGGTGGTTTTGCGAGGTGAGGGCCCAGTCTCTCTCTGTTGCCTAGAGGTCAACTCGCAGGTTAGGCATGCAAGCGGAGTCGCTCTGCTCTTCCTGAGAGCCCCTTGGAAAGGAAGCGGGACAACACCGGCTTCCGCCCTGGCATCACAGAGCGTGTTCATCTCCCACGGACACTGGCACCCCCTGGTAGCTTCCTGATGGCAAGTCTTTTGGGTTCCCTTCGGACCTCTTCAACAAAAACGACCCGGGGACGGTTTGTGAGTTAAAGTCTGAGAACCACGTGTTTGTGCAACTCGGGGTAACGCCCTGCGCGGAAACCTACGGGAATAGGAGAGACCAGGCAGTGGGTGCCACTCACTCCTCCTTCTGCACGGACTTGGGTCTCTCACGCAGTGAGTGGCGGGGGCGCGAGGCTGTGGCCAAGGTGCGGGACTAGGTCACAAGGACTGCCCTGCCAGCCCCGCCTCCCTCTTGGGACTCTGCCCCGCGCGGCGTTGCTGTGGCAGCGCCGGACGCAGCCCGAGTTGTGGCTGCTGCGGCCTCCACCTTGTCCTCCAAAGTCTTCTGCCTACCCGTGGCTTGGGCCCAGTCAGAGGCTCCCCATGCTCCGGGGGACGCGCCGGAGCCGGGTGAGCGCCCTGGAGGGCGGCCTGGAGGAAGAGGCGCCCCCACAGGCGGCCGCTGAGCCCCCGGCGTATTTAGAGTGTCCGTGGCAGACGGAGGCGGCGGCCGAGCAGACTCTGCTGCGGGGCATCTTCGAGATTGGGAGGGACAGCTGCGACGTGGTGCTGAGCGAGAGGACCCTGAGGTGGCGGCCCATTCAGCCCGAGCGCCCAGCGGGTGAGTGCTGGGGTCCCGGCGCTTTCTCCTCCCCCGGGGCTGCTTCCCTCTCCACGCTCTGTACCCGCTCCCCGGGCTTCGCCACCGTCCGGGAGACTCCGCGAGCGAGGACGCCGCCGCCTCCTTGGCGACCGCGCCAATCCGCGAGGTGCCCGGTCCCGCCAGGCTCCCTGCTCTCGGGTCACTCCTCGACAAACTTCACAGTCTGCCTGTGTTTAAAGTCGAGGTGGGGGGAACCCCACAAACTGGACCCAGGAGGGCAGTTGACTTAGAAACGTGGGAGTGTCTCCTCCTCTACCCCTCCCGGCTGAAGTTGTACGCCATCAGCTTTGCTGGTGGGCTGAGTGGATCCCCCAGGGACAGAGTATGCCTGCACGTGGGTTCTGCCTCCAGTCCTCTTTCCACTGGCTTCTGAAAATCCAACCCTAGTGCTCCGGGATCTCCGGGGCTTTCCAGCTCACATTCCTCTCTGTTGTCTAGAATCCAAACTGTTTAGAAACTTTAGACTTTCAATGGTGACTCCAGAATATTGGATCGCAATTTTCTAGTAGTTACGCCATGTGGTTTGCTTCCACTGGCTTTTTATTAGCTTAAATTTCTAGTTACAGTATCGTAGGGTTGTTGCGTACAAAACTATTGCACATCTTAGTGCTTGAGTCTGGTACACAGCCTCCTTAAGCTAAATGCAAATTTATGAAAATTAAAATCGCCCTCCACTCATGAGGATCAAGATAATTTCCTACAGAATAGAAAGGATCATTGTTTCAAAGTTCATTGTTTAAGTTAACAAAGGGAAACTAGTCAGACCAGGCCTTGGTTATGAATGTGAATTCTGTTCACTTTATGTTGCCAAACTCCACATAACTAAACTTAAGTTAAATTGACTTGAAAACCAAAGTGAAGTATGTTCATGAATCCTTGGTTAAAAGCTAGGGTTATGGATATACAATAAGTCTTATTTATTTCGATTTGTTTATTTGTAAATGGGAGGGAGGGAGGGGGAGAGAGTGAGATTGAGGTTGATTCCATCTGCTGATTGACTTCCCAAATGGGCTTGGCTAGGTAGGCAGAATTCAGGAGCCTGGGACTGCATCAGGCTCCTGTGTGTGTGTGTGTGTGTGTGTGTGTGTCAAGGGGCCTAGTACTTGGGCCGCCTTTTTGTTGCTTTTCCAGGTGTATCAGCAGGGGGTTGGAATTGGCACTGTATGTGCAGGTGGCAGTTTAACTTATTGCACCACAATGCTGGCCCCAGTATTCTAATTTTTTTCCCTTTTTTAAATACTTATTTGTGGTGAACTCAAAAGGTTTCCATAGCCTTGGCAACTCATGACAAGAGCCTAGGGTGATTACTGATGCCATAAACAGGAGTGTCAATTTGTTAAGTCAACAACAGGAATCACTGTGCACTTACTCCTCATGTAGGATCTCCGTCCTTAATGTATTGTACTATGTGAATTAACGGTATAACTAGTACTCAAACAGTACTCTATACTTTGTGTTTCTGTGTGGCTGCAAACTGTTGATCTTTACTTAGTATATACTAAATTGATCTCCTGTATATGAAGATAATTGAAAATGAATCTTGATGCAAATGGAATAGGAGAGGGAGAGGGAGTTGAGAGGGTTGCGGGCAGGAGGGAAGTTATGGAGGGGAAAAAGCCATTGTAATCCATAAACTGTACTTTGGAAATTTTATTTATTAAATAAAAGTTAAAAAAATTTTGAAATGTTTGGGAATGTCAAAACTACAGTGGCATAGCAATTCCTAAATGCTGCTCTGTGTCAATTTTTACTAGGCCCCTATAATTGAAGTTTATGAGAATAATAAAATAATGCATTATAAGATTTAGTCTTAGGAGATATTTTCTGATATTATATCCTCTTCATTGTGATGTGACAAGTGATTTTTTTCTATGTATTTAACATATTAATATTCAAAATGTATAATCTTTAAAATTATTGTGATAAATGCCATTTGATATCATATTTCTCAATTTAAAAATATCAGATAGGCAAAGAAAAACTGGTTCACTTCCTAAACGCCTATGACTTCACTGGAGCTGGAGCTGGGATTTGGGAACTCAATTCAGATATCCCATGTTGGTGACATGACTCCAATGACTTGAGCCATCACTGCTGCTTCCCAGGGTCTGCATTGGCAGGATACTGGAATTGGAGTGGAGCCAGGTATCAAACCCACACCCACTGGTATGGGAAGTGAGCATCATAACTGGTGATTTAATGACTAGGCTAAATGCTAGCCCCTGTTGCTCAAATTTAAATTTTTTTTTAAGAAATCAGGTATATATGCACCTTTACTAGCTGTAAAGAAGAAAATACTGTCTTTTGCAACAATGGATGCAACTGGGGACCATTTTGCTTAGTGAAATAAGCCAGACCCAAAAAGACATGTTTTCTCTGATGTGTAATAGTTAATATAGAATATAAAAAGCAATGTGCAAGAAACAGAGCCTGGTGCAGTGGCATAGTAGGTTAAGCCTCTGCTCACAGCAATGACTTCCCATAGGAGAACCTGTTCGAGTCCCCACTTGCTCTACTGGAAAAGCAGAAGATAGCCCAAGTCCTTGGGCCCCTGCACCCACGTGGGAGACCCAGAAGAAGCTCCTGGCTTCAGATAGGCCCAGCCCCAGCCAGTGTGGCCATTTGGGGAGTGAACCTTTGGATGGAAGATTCCTCTCTCTCTCTCTCTCTCTCTGCCTCTCCTTCTCTCTCCTTCTGTAACTCTGCCCTTCAAATGTTTTCAGTTTTTAAGATTTATTTATTTGGAGAGGGAAGAGATGTACAATCTGGGACATGCTCAAGCTGACTTGCCCCAAATGGTAGAGTTAGAAACATACCAGGGAATTCCAATTCAATTCCATCAAGGTGGCATGTACCAATGCCATCTCACTAGTCCAAGTGATCAATTTCAGTTCACAATTGATCATAATGAAAGGACTAAGAGTCAAAGGGATCACATAAACAAGTCTAGTGCCTGCTAGTACTAACTGATAGAATAAATAAAGGGGAGAGCGATCCAACATGGGAAGCGAGATACACAGCAGACTCATAGAATGGCAGATGGCCTAAACAGCACTCTGGCCTCAGAATCAGCCCTAAAGGCATTCGGATCCGGTTGAAAAGTCCATGAGAGTATTTCAGGCATGGAAAGCCAAGACACTCTGGCAAAAAAAAAAAACAAAACAAAAAAAAAAACAAAAAAAAAAAACAAAAACAAACAACAACAACAAGAACAAACAAACCACCTAAATGAAAGATCTCTGTGAGTGCGATCCCAGTGGGAAGAACAGGTCTTCAAAGAAGGAGGTACCTTTCTCTGAAGGGAGGAGAGAACTTCCACTTTGACTATGACCTTGTCTAAATAAGATAAGAGTCGGAGAACTCAAAAGGCTTCCATAGCCTTGGCAACTCATGACTAGAGCCTAGGGAGATTACTGATGCCATAAACAGGAGTGTCAGTTTGTAAAGTCAACAACAGGAGTCACTGTGCGCTTACTCCTCATGTAGGATCTCTGTCCTTAGTGTGCTGTACATTGTGATTTAATGCTAAAACTAGTACTCAAACAGTGTTTTTCACTTTGTGTTTCTATGTGGGTGCAAACTGTTAAAATCTTTACTTAATCTATACTAAACTGATCTTCTATATATATAGAAAATTGAACATGAATCGTGATATGAATGGAAGGGGGGAGAGAGCGGGAAAGGGGAGGGTTGCGGGTGGGAGGGAAGTCATGGTGGGGGGGGGAAGCCAATGTAGTCCATAAGCTGTACTTTGGAAATCTATATTCATTAAATAAAAGTTAAAAAAAAAGATTTATTTATTTGAAAGAGTTACACAGAGAGAAGGAGAGGCAGAGAGAGAGGGCTCTTTATCGTCTGGTTTACTCCCCGGTTGGCCTCAAGGGCTGCAGCTGTGCCGACTCAAAGCTGGGAGCTAGGAGCTTCTTCCAGGTCTCCTACGCAAATGCAGGAGCCCAAGGACTTGGGTGCTCTCCTACTTTCCCAGGCCATAGCAGAGAGGTGTACTGGAAGAGCAGCAGCCGGGACTCAAACGGGCACCCATGTGGGATGCTGGCACTCAGGTGGTGGCTTTACCAGCTATGCCACAACTCTGGCCTCTTTTAATCTTTCAGTTTGCACTATGGGTATAGAAATTTATGAATAAAATTAAAATTAGCCCTAAGAGCCCATTTGGCCAACAGTGAAGCTGAAGTACTATAGAACTAAAATGAGACACAGTGCAATGTGAGGTCATACAAATGAACCTTGCAAAGCTGATACACAAAAGCAAACAGTGAAATGTAAAGGGGGTTTTCTTTCCTTTAGATAAACATTAACACTTCTTTGTAATTAACACTAGGAATTCGAGGTACTTTGGGCCTCTAAACCTGTAGGCACAGAATCCTAGCACCTTAGTAAGCACTTCCACTTATACAAGAAAATGAGATGTTTTACCTTGATTAAGAGAAAAGGGAAAGAAGATGATATATTTAAATGTGAGAATTACTCTTTGATGTTGACTCAGCTTAAACATGAGTCGTGAAAGACCGGTGAAATTGGGCCAGAGAATGGGGTGGGACGGCATCAAGGGAAAACGTGGTGTGGTAGGAAGCAAGGGCAGTGGGAGAAAGCCATGCCTGTGGTTGACAGGTGACTGGTTGTCCCAGCAAAGGCTGGAAGAAGTCCGTGAGCTTAGATGTCTGCAGGAGCACCCAGTTTGTAAACCTAAAAATGTACTAGTTCTCGCTAATGAAATGAAATACCACATCATCTGTCCTCAATTTTCCATCTTGAGTAATTAGCAAAGACACTATGCATTTTATGAGGCTATCACTGCCACCATTTCAACTAATTGATGGTCTCTCTGCCAGGATAAATGAATATAACCATAATAATTGCAGTTCTTTTTATTGGGTTCAAGGGTGACTTGGATATGTTACTTGGGCTTGGAAGGAGAGCTTGTAAGTCGAGATGAGAAG